CGCCCTGCGCGGGTAGCGTTAGCGCAGATGCGCGAAATCGCGCTAACGCTACGCTAAACGCTAGCGCAAGTTTTTTCCCCATTCGCGTAGCGTTAGCGCGGAAAATGAGAAAAGCGCTAACGCTACGCTAAATTGTAGCGGGTTTTCGCTACACTACGCTACGCTAACGCTACGGTTAGCGTAGCTGGCCCACCGTTGAGATCAGTCAATGGAATTTATTTGTGTATTCCAAAGAATCAGTTCATCTCATTGGCAACAAACATGCTCAGGTACTCTTTCCCATGTCTTATACCAGATTTCTTTGGAGAGTGGAGTCTCATGGAAGCATCCAAATAAGTGTCTCATTGTAAAAGCTAATTGTACCAACATTCCCAAGAGATTTCATGTTTGAATGAATCCAAAAGAACAAAAAAGAAGCTTTATTCAAGGGAAGTCTAAAGTACATTGAGAATACAAAATTTCGTGAAAAAAAGAAAACGTTTGAAGACCGTGGAAATCAATGAGAGATGGGCATCCGGGGTAAATTGGAGAGCTACAATTGGCAAGGCGAAATTAAAAAATATTGATCAGGCCATTGAATAAGTATAATGAGTTACAGATTAAATGTTAGTTGTTTGAAGGTTCAGACAGAATCTTACCTTAATTTTCCTCTGGCTAGATTCATTCCCGAGAATTCCTCGGCGGGTGGTTCCGTGTTTTTTCCAAGATCGAGAAATAGTTTTGAAAGCCTGAAATCATCAGAGTTAGTGATTGCAAAGTTCCATTTTGATAGTGATCAATTGGCCGCTCACTGTGATAAGGTTAGAAGATTCTGAGGTATAGTAATTGAAGGATGAAGCAACCGATAAATTCTTTTGAGAAGGAATAGATTGATGCAAGTTAGAAAATTGGTTATGCTGATGGAGGATAGAATGTGAAAAAGGATTGAAGAAGAAGCTTACCAAAATTCAGGTCGGGCGTTCTGGAGATGGCATCATGTCCTCAGGGTAGACCCGACGCTCTAGGACATCCTGCTTGCCTTCCTCGGAAAATAGCTCCATTCCTCCATCATCGGTGAAGCGATAGGAGTGCGTAGCACTAGTGGTAACCATGGGCATTCTGTGAGCAGTTTTGATACAAACAAGGAGGCAGCATTTGGGGCGGCAGTTGCGGGATCCAAAGCGAACTGGTTTGGCGGGCCTTTGGCCAGGGTGGGCGAGGGGAGAGGTAACAGGGGGAGTGTGAGGGGCCACCATGGCTGGCGTTCCCCAAAGAGAAGAGGGAGTGGAAGGGAGAAGAGGATGCGTTGGTTGGATCTGGGTGAAAGAGGGGAAGCGGGAGGAAGAGCGAAGTCCTGGACAGCTTTTTATCTTCATTCCACGCCGGACAGCAGCAATGTTGCGACTGGGGCTCAGCCTTGCCCCAGCAATAGAGCAAAGGGAAACACACCCAATGAGATGCCAAGAAAGATGCAAACAAGCTAGTCACACCTTTTCCCTTTCACAATTATTTGGTATTTGTGCAATAAAAGGTTGTATGTATTGAATTGCTCATCAATGCGCAGTTGAAATAGACACAAACAAACTAGCCTGTAGAAGAAATTTACTCTGTGGCCATGCCACCTTTGTGGAAGGCGGTTGAAAAGCTTGTGTGATCTTTAACGGTTGGAGGATTGATACATGTATGAATTCACTGTGCCTGTATGTGTGTCCCTGCCTTAATCCATTCCGATCACCATAGAATTTAACAGCTAACACTCAGCTCAATTAGTGGTAAATCATAAACATCTTTGTTGAGGCTGTTGTTGGGAGTCAACCAGAAAATGCATGTTGAGAGGGCCAAATCATCCAACAGAAGCTGAGTACTACAGACAATGGTGGGTATTTCATTCAACGTCGTAATCAACTATCCTGTGAAAAGTGTTACAATAGGACCCAGGAAACCCATTGTAGATGTCAGTAACCTAAAATCCCAGATTTTCATAAAATTCATACATTTTTGGGACTCATTCATACATGTTTCGTGCCTAGGCTCAGAGGTTAGCCAAAAATTTCATACAATTTTTGTGCCTAAAATTTTTTTTGGCTGGAGGCTAGAGTTTAGTGTGTTTTTTTGTCTGTACCATTTTTTCCCGCCAGGAAGCACATAGCCAAACTTTATTTACAGCTAGTCATTCCTGCTAGCAACTTGGGCTTTGAAAAATGAAAAAAAAAAAAATCAAGAAATATTTGCCATTGCATACAGTATGTAGTGGGAGGAACTTATAATTATTAACTATCATCAGCTTTTTCTTTTTGAGAGATTTGATTCTTAGGAATTCTTTTTTGCCAAAAACTGACAGGGGGGTTAAAAAAATCTCATGGGGGTGTTAAAAGATCTTCAAGGGGGGGGGGGGGTGACTTGATGGGTCACTGGAAGGGGGGGGGGGCTGCAAAAAAAGAAATAATAATGATAATAATAACAAATCATACATTTTTGGTTACTAACCTACATTGTTCCCCAAAAATTCCATACATTTCAGGTGAGTAACATTTTGCCCAAAGATGCCCATTCATACATTTTTGGTGAGTATCATTTTGGGTTTTTGCCAAAAAATTCATACATTTTGGTTACTGACATTTATAGGGGGTTTCCTGGGTCCTGTTACAATCTATGATTGATTGTCCCCATTAAGTTTCAGCTATGTGATTGTATTGAATTGAGACGGAGACAATTATAAAGAACATGATCTTCAGCTGAACATTCAGTCTGCAGTGGGTTTAGGGTAAACATTCGATGAACCTTGCCTCAGTCGGTGTTTATGAGAACTAGCAACATATCAATTCTGTATGAGAATTCAAAGAAGGGCACTTTTATGCTTTGGAATCGGGATTGTTGCCCGGGCACCGTGGTATCTCCAGATGCGTCTCTACTGATCTGCTTTTCAAGACAAGAAGTAGTTTAAAACATGAAAATTGCAACAACAGATTCCTGACCATGAGGAAGAAGAAGGTGAGAACCCCAATCCGCCGGAATCCAATTACAAGAAAGATTGCTCAGTAACTCCTCGACTTGTTTTGATTGTGTTGTAATATGAACACCGTCAGAAGCCTACACTGAGTGCCCTGGTCATGATCTCAATAGTTCAATTCCCGCTTACGGTTATTTCACCCACTTAGAAGTCTGCTCACATTGAGCTCGGGGCTTTTCTGGTTTTCTTATTGAATATATCATGCTTATTTCTGGCCAGAGGAACAAATCTCATGTCTGGCATGGAGCCTACTTATACACCGCCTCTACTTTGCAATTGATTGTTTTCCGACAGAAGGCGGTGGGATTTCCATGTCTCTGGTTGACCTGGCTGGAGTACCGAGCTCAACCAGATAATGTGTTAGCAAGTCTTATTGCTGATAAAGATTGATTAGACCGCAATCGAGATGGGATTCTCAATGGATAATCTTCAGAGCATGTAGCAGAAGCGAGTAAACTCAATTATCATTACAGATCAGTTGAAATTGAATGGGACAAGGCCACCGGCGAAATTCCCATTGTTTTGCAGATATAGTCTGCTGGAAATGATGATGTGAATGTTACGATTGGAGGATAAACCCCTGCTGTCATCCAGCACTACCGTGTTGGCGTCCAAAGTTGAGAAGAATTCATGAGCTAGGGGCCGAAAAAAGTTATGAAAACCTTTGCTTGAGCCCACATATTGACTCTGAAGGTGATTGTTCCAGGTTGTGTGCGTCCGAACCCCCTGGCCTTTGCAGAAAGCACTTCCCTTGGAATGAGTTGGACCCTGCGGCGGCTCGGGGCGCGCCAGGTGGATTTGAGCTAGACCCTCCTGAAGCCTCTGAATCAGACATCGGCCATGTCGTCATGATTGCTAAGTGTAAAGACCCTTCATCAATCAACTGGATACAAAGTATTCGCATCTTTGTAAGGCAGAAGTGGAAATCACTTTAATTGATTATAAGTTTTTATTTTTAGAAATATGACATGAAGAAACAGCACATGATATAAGTGCCACTTTGAGAAGTTTTCCACTATGTTAGCCATCAGTGTGTTTTCTCAAAGCTTCCAAAATTTGGTACATACCTCTTTAGGGCATGTACCAAATATTTCTGAAGGTTTTTTCTTTTTTGTGACATTCAAGGAACTAACTGAACAGCTGCTAATACTGCGTGATGAATTGGAGCAAATGCTCCCTGAGATATCTGCAGCAAGCAATTGGGAAAACATCCCATGAACAGACCATTGACATTGTTTATTTTTCCAAACTGCTTTATAACTTGAACGTGAAAACAAGTGACATAAAATGCAAGACTTGAACACTGATGCTTACATGAACTTCCTTGTTTTCATACCCACCACAAATTACAATGCCAACCTGAAGTTTACAGCTTGGGAATCTCATTGCAACAATCAAGAGAATTCAAGTCAGGGATAGAGAATCACAAAAGGTTTAGTAGAAGAGGTCAACTACACAGAAACAGAGGTGAACTTGGACAAAAGAGAAATTGCAATATCACAAGAAAAGAGAAGCTGAATCCAAGACTCCCCCTTGTCATATTCATATGCTCTCAAGTTACCCTCCCCATCTCATCAATTGATTTGATTGGCTTATGATTATCCCAGTGTCAATGAATTGAAATTAAAAGCTGCTGAGATTGACGCTTGATTCTATCTCCTAAACTAAAGCTCCTTCAAAAGGATATTGGCTGCCGGCTTTATAGCATTCCATGGTGGGTTTAACTAGGGCAATGCTGCAAGCAATTTTTGATAAAATGCGGATGGTTTGGACATTCATCTGTGGCCCACTGATGTCCTAACTCATCTCCACACAAGCACTTTTCAACAATGGCCTTCCGTTGCTTGGAACACCGACCGTGCTGTCCCTGCCATTCACAGGTGTATTGCTCAGTACATTGACGATCTTCAACATCCCAGTGTATATGTGCTTCAGGGTGAATGCAATTGATGGTTTGGCAGGGGGGAGAAAGCACAGAACATGCTATCAGGATCAGGAAACTGACAGACTCGAGGCACTTGAGCCAGCGCATGCTTGGATTTTGGAAGGGGGTATGACGTGAGGGCTGGCTGCGCTTGGGGGTAACAGTCCGTTGCAGGGTCATGATATCCTACTGGGAGTCGAACACAGACTAAACAGTATGTCCGCAATGAATGATGGTCAGAGGAGTGTAACTACCAATCGGCCACGAAGTGCATAACATCGACCCAACATCCAGGGATTTTGTTTGTTCCACTTTAATGGTACAGCTAACCGGTCACTATTGTCAAGAACTTGATTAGGCTCTTAATATTTCCAATTTACAGAAACAAGGGCTACGGCTCCATTGGAAGCTTATAGATAGACACGACCCTACAAGAGAGATGTATATTCATTTAGATAGATCAAGCATTGGCCAGAAAAAACAAAAAAGCATGGGCAATCAGGAAAAATAGAAAAGGAGAAAAAATAACTACCAGAGTTGTCTGCATGCAGTTTCTATAGAGTCTTGGAGAACAACAAGAAACAAGATATAAATGTATGTACAAATCGGAAACAAGACCAGTAAGCGAATGAAGAAGAAAAATGAGGAGATACAATCGACGAAAGCGATGAAAAATGCACATGTACATAGACGAAAAGGAGAGTTAAGTAAAGGCTCTCGGGGGGGGGGGGGGGGGGGGGGGGGGGTTGGATTATTTCCCGTGTCAGGTTGAAGGCTGTTCCATCTGCCCTGCTGGACCTCATCGGTGTTAGAATGAAGGCCCGAACTGGAAGTTCAACAGAAAATCGTTTGGAAGAAGAAAATATTACCACTGTTCCACTTCAATGGTGACCCCAGTGTGGGAAATCGCTCTCCAGCGAAAATCACCAATCCAAGCCAGGAAAACAGGAAAGAACTATTGAGAGTATAGCAACAGTATACAAACTGAACTGTTTCCTTGGCAGACTCGACTGAACCCGACAAGAGGATAGAAGGGGGATACCAAATAGAAAAGATAACGCTGAGTGGTGGATGATGCAGGCCATGCATTTGAAAAAGATCGAAAGGATCGATGTATCACAACCACCGCTAACTACAGACGATGTGTAGAACCACGAGAGGATTCGGTGCTACGGATTTTATTATTCCCACCGAGGCGCTTTGTTTCAAATCCCCTCCCTG